CCATGAGATTGCTAGAGTAATTGAATAAATGGGAAAAAAGAACCCCGTACGTTTTATAGACAGCTGTAGATAACAGCTGCTGGTAATAATAATACCCAAATCTATGTGTGAGATAAAATATTTTTTCACTAAATAAAAAAAGCATGTCATTTACTGGGAACACATTAAAAGATTTTGCCCTAGCTAAAAAACGGTCATTTTGCTGAACATTAGGGAACAACAACAAAAACATGTTCCAATTCTACCTTCAGTTCCAGTAATGCCTGTCAGTGACTGTTGGTTATTGTTGTCTCATTTTCCCATATAGGCCAAAGCAAACTGTTTACTCCAAGTCCAATTTCTTCTCTTGACATTTTTTTAAGGTGAATAAATTTTTGTCAAATGGACAAAACCATTTAAATAAAGGGTAAATGTGGTTTAAACGTGAAAGTTCAAAAGTTGTCCACGCAACAAAGATATTTCTGGATGTCTTAATTTGGTCATGTTTGTAACTAACCCATTAGTTATAAATATTTTTCTTTAAAACTCTCTATATTTTCTTTATTCTTCCAAATCCCTTCATTTTAACCCTTAAATATAATTTCACAGAACATAACCAATCCTTTTGGGTTTTCCATATCTCTGAAATAATCAGAGATGTCAAAAAATATATCTATTGAGACAAAAAAAATCAAACATATGCTAATTATGCTTTATTAAAATTCTATTCAAAATGTTTAATAGAAAAAAAAAACCCATCTGAGTGCAATAACACTTGGAAGAGCATGTATTACCGGTGAAACAAATGCACTGCTGGTCCACTTAGCTGTTCCTAAACCTAAAGTGTCTTACATAACAAAGAAAAAAGCTCTAGGAAGGAAGTATCAGGTGAAACTGACACAACATTTCAGGCTTGGTGCTTAGATTAGCCAGTCCTAATCATAATGCATATACTAGCTCTTATTATCAAATAAATGTACAGCCTTAGAAACATCATTGTATGGAGTTCTTATAAAGATTCCATAGCAGGTTCTCACTGTTTTTATGTCTTTGCTTTAGGAAGTATTTTAACAATTAAGGAATGATTTAGGTGATGTTTTGTGCATTTAGTTGTTCCCTCTTTCTCCACAAACCTGACCTTGATTCTCACTGTTTATCGCTCCATTTTGCAGCAAGACTGGTTATCATCTCAGCAAATTAGTTTAAATAAACAAAAGATTTGATACATTTATATATTTTCTTTTATCAGAAGGTAAACCTTAAAAGTGGGAGACATAACTAACTATAGGACTTTTGTATTCAGAACATAATCTGTTGTCTTTGCTCAAACGGGGTGCAAGGGAAAAAAAATAATTGAGTTTGAATTGGTTATGCCTGAGGCTAAGTGCTAAAACAAATCTTTAAATGAAATTTATTACAAGCGGGGTTACCGTGCCCAGGTGTTATTGAATTCATTTCTCATTCTGACCCGATTTAGAACGATAACGGTAATAAGTGAGACTGGCAGAAAAGATGACAGTGACATTGCACATCATGGATTCCCTTCAAACAGATTAAAATGCAGTCAGTCTCAATGGCTTAATTGATCCATGCAGGTGGTGTCTTTTCTTTCAATTGTTCCCCTCAGCAGGGTGTGTTATCGTTTTCTTGAATAAATCCATCTGCACCGATGGAGTCAATTTCTCAAATGCAAAGAATTTCTTCCCCATTTAGATGTATTTAAGTATCACGCATAAGAAAACGCAGCACCTCGTTAAAAAGGTTTCCATGAGACAAATAACAGGGAGATGTTCCTTCTTTAAGTTGTTTGCATTCAACCAAGGACAATTTAGGGGGGCTGTGTGGTTTGAGGCAGTTCACTGCTCTTCACTGTAAGTGCAAGGTTGATGAGACCCCCTCCTCCACCCACCACCACCACAACATACCTTCATACCACAGAAATTAATGAGGAAAATGAAGCTAATGAGATAACAAGCACAAGATGGAGAAACGGGCTGATCTGACGCGTCCTCCCGGTTATTTGGCAATATCTAGAGGCGTCACCGGGCCACAGACTCTCATTTTCTTCCTGTCATATTCAATCAGCGATTCCTGCCTAAAAATAAAAAGCGAATCTGTGGCGTGACCATGACCAGCAGGACATTTGGTGTGGCTGGTCTGCTCACTTTATTTATTTTTTTTGATAAGGCTTTCATGGCCGATGGATCATGTGGTAGCATGAATGTTTCAGTCTAAAGACACACACAGTAATTATTAGTAATGATGATGCGGTTTCATAAAGTACGTTGCTCAGTGGAATAAATGCTGTGCCTGAAATGTTTCCGTGAGCGTCTTCCGTTGTAGATAATTAGCAGCGTAAAGTAATGAGGTCAGTGGTAATGGTCATTTCTCTTTACATGCTTTTGTCCTGATGAGTGACAACCCTAACTTCTCCTAATTAAGCCAGTTTTTTTCTGCACATCTGTGTACCTGGATCATTTCTAAGGAGCCAGGTAAGGTAGTAGGTCATCAGTGTATTTAAATACCAGGCTGTTATGTGGTAGGGATTAATGTACTGAGTGATAAGGCCTTTAAAACGGTGCATTACATAGCAGTTTGCAAATGAACTCGAGATGGGGACTGTACACTGAATTAGGAAGTGATTTAATATACTACAACATTTAAGTGCTGTTTGCCATTTGTTTTGCTGAATTGTTCAATTGCAGCAAGGCTCTGTGAACGGCTGCAGAGAATCCAGAATCAATGTGTTGTTTGAGAAAATGAACTGCAACATTAATTAGGCTGCGGAAGTATTAGGAATGTTCACTTTGTCAAATCAGACTACGTTACAGACAAAACTTCTCATGTTCCTGTGACGGCTTGCCTCTTACAAGCTCTCACAGCGTAATGGCTGTAATTCTCACAACTATAACTGCATTTTTGGTTTACATCTAAAACACAAGAAGGCTGTGCATCCACCAGTTTAATTAATTATAAACCTAAAGAAATAATTTAGATAGCAAAGTACCAGTTAACTGGTGTGCTTAGATGTTTTTTAGTATTCCTGGAAACATAATGATTTCAACCTTTTGAGTTGAAAATTTGTAGTTCAGGCTCAGAGTAAAATATAGATGATGATGCTATGTTGCCCTATTCTGTGTGAGTTTCTTTAGCTTTTCTTTTTACTCTCAGTTAATGTTTTACATTAGATTGAAGCAACTTTAGTTAATCAGCTTCACTTCTGGAATTTAGGTTATTTTTGTGCTCTGAAAAGCACAGTTTGAGTTGTTAGGCAAGCATCTGTTGACACTGGAACTGACAACACCAAACCACAACACTGCAAAATTGCACCATATATATTAATGCTCTTAACTTCCATATCAATGCTTTTTTTTTTTTTTTTTTGCACCATGTTTTTTATACTCCCTCACTGTTTACATTTGATAACTGCTAAAATAATATACTCAAATATATTTTCATATGCTAATATCAAATTGATTTTTAAAAATGTGGTATTGATCTATTTTACTTTCAAAATCTTGTGAAATTTCATCGTTCTGTTACAAACTCTCGTGATATTTTGCAAATTCTTGTGAGATATTGTTATATATATATATATATATATATATATATATATATATATATATTGTAAATAGATCAATACCGCGTCAATATATCAACATATAAAAATATGGCAAAATTTCGTGAATTTTCAGGGGATTTCGTAGCATAACGATGACATATAGCAATATTTCATTAGTAAAAGAGATTGATATGGTGTTTTTAAATGGCAATATATCAGCATATGAAGATATTGTGATATTTTAATGTATCAATATTTTTTTTCCTCGTCTTTAGAAGTTTTTAAGTCTGTAAAAAAGACGTTTTTGAGGAAGAAGAAGAAGTAGTATATATATATATTTTTTTAGACTTTAGAAACTCATAAGCTGATCAAATATCTGGTTAAATATCGGTGGGGTGGCTGATGTCCGATATTCAGTTTTAAGGCCGATACAGGCCGATACCGATAGGGGGCCGATTATATCGTGCAATATTCTATACACTCAGTGTATACAAAATGACAATAAAAGTTGTCTAAAAGAAGTTGTAAAAGGAATAATAAGACTTTTCTACAGAGATTCTTTGACCGAACAGTGTGTAGACTTAATAATAGTAACAATAATAAGTCAGAGAGGTCTTGACGAATGAAAAAAGTCAGTTTTTGTCTCACCTGTTGTTTAAAATATGACATAGCCTTCATTACTACTATCCGCTGTTTTCTTGTGACATAGAAATGGTGGTTAAGGAGAAATAAAAATTTATTTTGGTCTTATCTGTATCAACCCATTCCCCCAAATCAAATACATGACTACAAAGTAACAAAATGAATATTGTCAGTGCCATGCAAATCTGTAAATTAGTGTTGAGGCGTAATACCACCAGAATAGGCATTAATGATGGGATGCATTTTGTATTTCTCCCAAACAGAGCTTTTTATTCAAAGAAATAAAAATATGTTTTATTCTTATCTTTACAATAAATACATTTTTAAGATGCAACCACTGCTGTTTTACTGCATGGGATAATGTTATTGAACTGGAAACTGTATTTTCTTTTCCGTTTTAGCTTGAATTTATTCATTCAAGCTGAATAGTACAGTTTCAGTATCATTTATTTGCTTCCTATTTTTCATAAATATGATGAAACCATGATGCTGCTTCTATTGTGTTTTACTGATGGGATAAAATGAATATACTGGAAAATGTTATACTGTCACAGAGCTATTTATGCAAACCTAAAAATGTGTTTTGGTGTCATCTGTCCATTAAATGTTCCCCAATAGCCTTTTGTTGACTGTGATCTTTTGGTAATGCTTTCATTCAGAGCAACATTGCTCTATTTCCCGTTTTTTTTCAACTGCTATTAAATGTAATGAAATATTATTCTTGATCACAGAAAGTGTGAGCAGTTGTTGTTGTTGTACTTTTGCGGCCACAGCTCCTCCATCCTCAACAAATGTGTCTTTGTGTTCTGGTTTTCAGATTGATCCTAAGGTTGCCTTTCCCCGACGGGCCCAGCCTAAGGTAAGAATGAATTTCTCCCTTAACAGTCCTCCTAGAAAATGATCATACTTCATTTTGCCTGCTAAGTTTTATTGTGCTTACACAGCCTTCAAATAGGGACACAAACATCACGGCTGCATGCGCTGTTTTCAGCTTGGTTCTGTTGTTTAACCAAAGCGGTTAAAGCTACAAATGAATGAGGGAAACTTTTCACCAGGAATAAAGGATCTGTTTTTTTTTTATTTCTGCGTTTTACCATGCTGTGGCGTCTTGTTTTCCTCATTGTGCTGGTTTTCGGTTTCTGCAGCTTTATTCAGCAGCGGTATAAGTCGAGCCTTCCTGTCTGTTTAAGGCAGTTTGTAAGATATTCTTATAGGCTGGATGAAAATAATCAAGATCCCCCTGTCTTTTGTTTGCTGTTAAAATGTCGGTGGTAGCACACAGTAATATAAAAGGGCAAGTTTTATTTTTAACTGATTAGGCTGATATTTGCCTGAATACATTTTCTTTTCTGAGCTGAATGGAGACTCCCAGCTGACAGTGATGAATTACACTTACTGGCTGAATTACAAGTCGAAGTTCTTTTGTCACATCCGGAGTTGAATGAGACTGAATGACATGAGTGATTTAGAAATATCTTTATTGTGCTGTATGCATGCAGAAATTGTCACAATTAGCACTGAAACAATGGGTGATTGAAGAAATAAGCCATATTCCAATCATGCAGGAACTGTCACACAAGCTCCTCATGATGCGTATTATCTTTTCTTTTCTTGATTACTGGTCTTGAGCGGTTCTGTCGACAATTAAATATTCAGCATGTGCAGATGGCACGGTGGAGTAGTCAGGGGCTTTGTTGACATGCCCCCTCATACCATCCACCGGCGATGAATGTGCGAGGCTATAGCGCAGTGCACTGTAGCACCATTCAGCATCGCTTTCGGGGTTTTTTTTTCTACCTAAACCAGGAGGAAATCAATAATAGATTTTCTCCTTTTCCCCCGGATCACAGAGAGGGGCATTGTTAAAGACTTGTTCGCGTTTCAAAATAAGGAATTGGCAGTGGAGGCTTTGAGAGTCAGAGCACCCTGTGACTTAAGCATATCAGTGCCTGGCTGTGGAACCACCTGCATTTTTTTCCACTTTTTCTTACTGGGCAAGGCTATCGACTTAACTTCATCTCATCCGAGCTTTGCTAATAAAAGCTGAAGGTGCAGTACAACAACTCTGGTGTTTGACGACGCATTCAATTATTAGATGAACAAGTGATTCAGCTTGCTGTGTCAGTTTATGTTTTTATTTCTTTTTAATCATGATACCAACTTTTCAAATAACTTAAAGGAAAGAAGAAGTTATTTTCAGAAACATCTTTTCCATAACTGGCACTTTAATGTCATTGTGTGAGCGGTACAACGATGATATGTTAACTAGCCATGAAACAAGCTTTTTAGGACAGAATTATGGTTTCATTGAAAGTGGACTATAAAAGTTTCTGGATTAAATCCAATCCTGGTTTGTACTTTAGGTTCAGCTGATTTAAGACTTTTGAAAGAAGTCCCATTCGGATGTTCCTATTTTTAAAGTCTTCTCTGTCTAGAATGAGCTTTCTTTTGTCCCTTTGTTTGCCTCCACTGTCTGCCTGCTTGGCTGCTTATGCAGTGGTTGAATAGGTTGCCTTTTTGTTTAAAGAAGCTTGGCTTGGCAGGTGCCTGAGTAGCTTGGGCGTTCAGGGAGCAAATCATCTCAGGAGTTAACTACAACTTCAAACCTGGCCAATGACCTCTCACGGCTCAGTGCAGCAATATGGTAAAACTATACAGTATGTACGTCACGTAGCGCAGTGCTGAAAAAGGGAGGGAGGTGAAGGTGAACAAGGAGGACATTTCACTGTAAACAAGCGCGGAGTTTTGCGGCGGGATGACAGGATAGAGAAAAAAACAGCAACTTGTATGAGCAGACATTCCTTGCACTGCCTCGCAATGTGGACGACGGAGATTCCGAAACATTGAACTTTTTCAACCTAGTGTCACAACAAAAAACAAAGCTGAATGTGTTTTATATTTTTGATGTAGTTGAGCAACACAATGCATCTTTGGATTTAGCTCAAGACTTTGACTAGGCCATTCTAACCCAGCAGAACAGAGGTCCTTTAAATTGTCGTGTCAAATGCCGTGTGGGTGAACTCGACTGGCACCACAGAGCAACCAGAGCAACGACCAAGGATGCTGAAAATCAAATAAACCAGCATCACATTTCATTGATTGTTTCAGCGAAAGCTGTACTTTATTTTACATGCTACATCACCATATACATATTTCTGTTCTCACTTTCCTCCAAAGAGTTTCCTTTTCAATACCTTGTGTTATATTTAAAGAGTGTTTAAGATTGTGATTCCATTTACATTAAAAGATGATATATACTTCTCTTGTTGTTTTCTTCTGCGTATTATATATGCAGTCTGAGTTGAAGTCTCACCTGAATCTCATGATAATGACAAATTGGTGATAAAGAATGGATTCTTGAAACATTAGTTCAGATATCTGCCCAGTTAATCCTGGACAGGGCAGTGACTACACTCAGACTTTAATGCCAAACTCAAACCTGAAGCTTAAACATCAAGTTATTACCATCAATCAGTCAAAATGACATTTTAGATTTTAGAGATTTAATTTAATAATCTAAATCTAAAAAAAAAAAAAAAAAAACTAATTAAAAAAATTATGCAGCTTCTCAGTGGCACAGTGGGTAGCACTGCTGCCTTGCAGCAAGAATGTTCTGGGTTCAATTCCCGGCCCATGGTCTTTCTGCATGGAGTTTTCATGTTCTCCCTGAGCATGCGTGGGTTCACTCTGGGTACTCCGGCTTCCTCCCACAGTCCAAAAACATGACTGTTAGGTTAATTGGCTTCTCTACAGTCCCCTTAGGTGTGAGTGTGTGCGTTGTCATGTTTGTCTCTGTGTGTTGCCCTGCGATGGACTGGCGACCTGTCCGCCTCTCGCCCATTGTATAGTGGAGATAGGCACCAGCACCCCTCGCGACCCCACTCGGGATAAGCGTGCTAGAAAATGGATGGATGGATGGATAGTTTAATAATCTATAATCTGATCAGCGTCCATCTAAACAACTCTTAAGATAGTGCCATTTGGATCAGGGCATGATGGTGGTTTTGTTTCACGTCGGCAGAAGAACAAAACTTGCGTGTTTATTTTTGGAGAATTTGTCGACTCTGCAAACATCAGAGAGCTTCTTCTCTGAATAAAACTTAGTGCAAAGGATTTAAATTTCAATATATATAGTTATTTAGCTTTCAGAATACGTTCTTCTTTTAATCCAAGCACATCTCAGTCCAATTGAGTTATTTAGTGCATGTCAACAAAGCCACTGTCGCTGGCAGCTAACAATCAAGCATCAGCATTGGGCACACTACCATTAAGGCTCGATGGTGCTTTAGCGTGTCAGTCACTACTCTGCTGAGGGCACGTGACCTCACTTCAAAAGAGCATAAAGAAAGAACATTATCAGTGTTTAGAAATTGATGGTTTATGTTCATTGGTCCAACAGAAATAGACTCAATCCATATTCCTGATAGAGGAGGGCCGTCCATCAGGTAACAGCGCTACGAAGCAAGTGGGAATTACAGCATCGACTAGAATAGCTTTTATGAGTGACACAGAGGAAAAGGCACGGGTGACGGATTCTGTGTGAATGAGGGCTAAGAGCGTGGCCCAGTTGAGGTGACAAAGGAGGTAATCTACCGAACATGTGCAGACAATAAATCAAATTTACTGACAAATTTTGCAGAGCCTGTCCATACAGTCATCCACACACGTCAAGGGAAAGGAATCTGTCATTGTGACCTTGTTCACGTTACAAAAGTCTGTACAAGGTCGGGAGGTCTGATCTAATTTTCATGCTAGTAAACATGGGGAGGACCAATTTGGGCATGAAGGCACTGCAGTTGTATGCTTTAGAATGTACTATACGTCAGGTTCCTGTTGTGTCTGTTTCTCTTGTATCTCCCACATTAATGTCATTCTCAATTAAATTAGGAATTGAAGGACCTGTCTAAGAGCAAGGGGAAAACACAACAACACAGCATCTAAGTTACTGAGCTCCTTTCAGATGTCCCTGTAACAGGTGGACTTTCCCCCTTAGTCTTATTGATCTGACACACCAACTGGTGTCTCACCCTCTGCACCATTATTAGGGTGTGATAGAATTTAAGCAGGTTTACATTTAAAAACTTAGGATTTTCTTTATGGTCAGTGCTGGTAACTTTGATCAGAACCCTGTCAAAGTAAAGAGCTAAGGGCAGGAGGCAATACCAACGCTTTGACTGATTAGCTGCACAGTGCTATAGTGTGCAGCAAGAAGCTCCAGTTTACAACAATTGTCCTATTAAGACACTTTATTGAATAAATTCAGTCAAATCATCCAAAAAGACTGGTTAAAAGTTTTCTATCTACAGAAACCCAGCTGATGGTATCGAGTCATTGACTGTAAAGAATTCGCTCCTGTTGGATTAGCTTGTAGCAACAGTGGACAGTTGCTTGCATTGTGTCATTGACTTTGTAGCAAACCCTCACACTGAACATGCATGCAGTGACAGTGGAGAGGAAAACTCTTTCAGCAGGAAGAAACCTCCAGCAGAACCAGGCTCAGTGTGAGCAGCTTTTGGCAGACATACCAAAGAAACACAGATGCACTGATCCAGGAATACTTTATATGTTACAAATACTATTGTTAGCTAGCTCCATAGGAGGCTCTCTTTATGAAAGAAACTATTAAGCAGATGAGTTTGGGCTGTTTTTTTTAGTTCAAACGGATTGAACAAAACAAGTTTGTCATTTAAAAATGTAAGCCAGTAGCTACCAAAAAAAAACCAGAGTAAACACTGAATAACGGGTCTAACTGTCTCATCCATGACATGAAGTTGTTAATAATGGCAGCCCAGCTGATCCCTCCCTTCAGGAGGTGATGGCTAAACAGAACAAAGGCCAGATGTGGCTACTATGCCAAGA